GCTGGATGAACACCTTGCTGGGGTCATTTGACCCCAGTACTCTTTCCTGCCATGGCAGGGGGTCGTACTCGATCTGCTCAGGTCCCTTCCAACCCTACAAACTATGAAACTATGAAACTACACTGTCATCTGACTGAAGCAGTAAATGGTTCCAACAATATAAAGCATAGAAGAATATCCAGTACAATATATGCCCATAAAAAACAGGCGGTATCATTTAAAACTAGGACAGAAACAACATTTTTACACATACTTTGTAAAAGAAATATTAAATTTTTAAAAATGGCATTGCTTACTAGTCAGAACCCAGGCTTCTGAGTCAAGCTGTCTTTATGTTAAACGTGCCACTACTACTGCTTCTGACTCTCTGGGTGAATTTGGACGCAACATTTAATTTCTTCATGATTTTCTTTCCTCATTTGAAAAAAAAATGTGCAACTACCTTTCTCACTGAGTAGATACAGTTAGCTGCTCTGGAGAGATGTTGCAAGGACTAATAAATACTTGATATTATTATTCCAAATCTACAGTATTCAATTAAGCCATATTGGAGGAGTAGACTTTCCTTCGCACTTATAGTCTGAAATTTGAAAAACAGGTGGAACATAAAAATGTAAATTTTTTTCTTTGTCAAAGGAGTTAAAAACGCTGATGAAAAGCACCATAAATTATTGTATTTAAGATTGAAACAAAAGCTATAGATGTTCACAAAATTATTCAATATCAGGTCCAGTTTTATGATTTGTGAGATTCCAAGCAAAAAGGATGTATCGGATGATTACCTTCTCTTTCCAGTCCCATTGTACAAGGAAAGATATCTGGTGGTGAACTGCATAAAGACATGCACATCCTATGTAATATTATTCAAAAAGGAGACTGACCCGCGTGGCTGATTAGCCACATCTTTTTGAAACTGCAGCCAGCTGCGGTTAATCATGAACGGAGCCGGCGCAGGACAATAAAAAGCAATCAAGGGGAAGAAGACTGGAGGGAGAGCAGGAGCGGAGCCGCCATCAGAGGTGCCCTTGGAGTCCCGTTCAGAGGCAAGGAGGATCCTAACGAATTGCCACAAGGCAAGAGGCTACCCCGAGGCTGCCAGAGGGAGGACGCCAGTGGTGAGGCGGCAGATGCCCGGATTCGCAGCAGCAGAGCCAAGGGTGAAGATCCAGGGACTCCGGATGAAGAGACCGACGGAGGAGACGGCCCCGAGGAGAGGGCGATGAGAGGCAACCCTGTAATCCAGATGGGATTGGCACTGGTTTGGGAAGGCTCCTGGAGTCTACCCCGATGGGGAGCAGAGAGCTTAAGCAGCGAGAGGGGCTGCAGGAAGCAAGCTCCTACCAGGCTGAGTCGCTCAGCGAGGGACCCAGTAGGGTTGACTTGGAGGGACCAGTAGTAGTCCTGTGCGGCACTCCAGAGGGATATCGGCTGGACAGAGGGGTGCCTTAGACAGGGTTAATAGGGAGAGGAATTCTCCGGGCCAGGGAGCCCAATCTTTGTTTGTAACCAGGGATTTTTACTGGTAGTGTTTCTTAATTTTCATTGGTCTGTTTCCCACTTTTGGAGGGGTAGGGAGGAAGGCCATGGAGGGTCTCATAATCAGCTTGATTTGGGGTCAGAACAGATCTTCATATCTGTAGCAGAGTGCCCCTTTACATCACGAGGCGAGGGTCAGGCCCGGAAATTACAGCATCTCGGAGAGGCTGGGTATTAGGGCAAAGTGTAGGGGAGGTTGGAGCCTCGCAGAAGACCATTGCCCCAAGATTCCCGACTCCAGATAGGCCCTAGTAGTCAACCCCACCACTGAAAGAACGAGCAAAGTTGTGGCAGGTGAGATTGGGGTGAAGACTACCCCAGGGCAACATATCCGGGCTATACAACATCAGAGACGGAGCGCCAGGCAAGCTTACACACCCAAAGCCGGGCAGCACGTGACCGGATGTTTGAAGCCCACCGGGTGCAAAGATATTCAAGGCAATGTCATGGACAAAGGGATACCAATATTGACTGGAATCCTAAGGTTCTGCTGTAATACAAAATAAATAAATAATTAAATAATACAAGAACATGGAGCTCCTAATTTTCTTGAAAGCCTCTGCAACACTTTCAGGTAGTGACATTCCCTTTCTCCTTTTTTTTTTCATTTTGATTAAACACTAGATATTGATGGGAATCAACTGCCATCATACCTATAGGCTGGGGGGTGACCTTCTCAGCAGCACTGAGGCAGAAAGAGATCTTGGAGTCACCATTGACTCCAGGATGAAAATGAGTCGTCAATGTGATGAAGTAGTCAGCAGAGCCAATTGCACCTTGTCATGCATCCATAGGTGCTTCACAAACAGGTCATGGGAGGTAATTCTCCCTCTCTATGCCACACTGGTCAGCCACAGCCGGAGTACTGTGTCCAGTTCTGGATGCCGCAGTTCAAGCAGGATGTGGAGATGGGCCATTCATCTGATTAGAGGTCTGCAGGGTAGGCCCTATGAGGACAGGCTAAGGGACCTCAACCTTTTCAGTTTTTCCAAGAGAAGGCTGAGGAGGGACCTTGTGGTGGCATACAAATTCATAAGGGGAGAGCAACATGAAGTAGGCGACAATCTGTTCACCAGGGCACCCCCTGGAATGACAAGGACCAATGGCCATAAGCTACTGGAGAGAAGGTTTAGACTGGAGATTAGAAAAATGTTCTTCACGGTCAGGGTTGCCAAGATCTGGAATGGGCTTCCAAGGGAGATGGTGCTTGCCACATCTGTAGAGGTCTTCAGGAGGAAACTGGACAGGTACCTGACTGGGTTCACATGACTCCAGGTTTGGTGACCCCTTTCTTGTCTGCCAGGGGCAGGGGGTCAGACTAGATGGCCCACTGAGGTCCATTCTGACCCTAGAATCTATGAATTTATGAAACAGGGGTTGGCAAAATACCCTACAGGCCAGATTTGGTCCACCAAGGGATTCTATCCAGCCTGCAGCAGGTCCCTCAGCCCTGCACAGCCCGGTGGGGGGGGGGGGCCAAGCTATGGCATGTACAGGGGTTCCTGCTGCCCTGGACACTTGGTAGGGTGCGGGCAGTGCAGCAGCTAGACTCCACTTCCTTGCAGGCCCCACAAAGGCAGCTGCTTCTGGTTGTCACCACTAGTGTCTCCACTACTGCCAAACCTGGCCCCACTGCCCAGGCACTTCAGCCTGTCCACCTGCACCCACCACCAAGGACGCCAGATGGAGTGGGCTGGCAGAGTCTCTGGGACCCCTGTAGGCAGGGTGCGCTTGGCCAGGCAGATGGGATGGGGCTACATGTGGGTGGGGAACGGTGTCGGGGAATGGGAAGGGCAGGTGGTGGCCAGGGTCAGGGTCAGGATTGTAGGGTGGTAACAGCATGGGGCCAGGGCTAAGGGCAAAGCTGCAGTCCACTCCCCACACGTCCCTGCTGTGTGAAGAGCAGATCACAGCTCTGCTGTGGGTCCCAGACCTGGGCCAGATAGGATCAATTGCCCCTCCTTCTCCCACCACGCCAAGCCAGGTCACCACCTCCCTCGCAACTGGCAGCAGCTCACCAAAATTCCTAAAGTGGCTCTGCAGCCAAAATAATTGTCCATCCCTGCTTTAAAAGGTATTCAGCATCTTACTGTGTTTTCTAGACACACTTGGGAATGTGGAATCCTCCTTGAGAAACCCAGGCATCTCAAGATGTACATTTAGGTAGTCAGATAATAGTCATATTCTTTAGAACAGCTTATGGTAATATGGCCCCTCACTTCCTTCTCAACATGGTAGTAAATAAAATATTGCAATAGGCTCCATAATAGTTTTGTATTTGGACATTTACAGCAGTTGTGCGCTTAACTAAGAAAATATGATATGTGTACCAGGATAGTTTACACTTCTGAGTTTTATGTAATGTCATCAGCTCATGACACTGGTTGAAGGTGTTTTCTGTATCATCTTGTCCTGCAATGTATGAACACAATGTCAAACAGGTACAAATGGAACACATTCAGGAAAATGTGTTCCCTGCAGCAGCCTGTCATAGTGTCCCAGAGTGCGAGCCTCTTCCCAGGGGGGCAAGGGGGG